TTCTTATGTGAGCACTTGAGAAACCAAGCTAGGAAACGGGTGACTAATTTGAGAACAAATTCGCGATTTCTGACCTATGGTGAGCCGTAGGGAACATAATCCGTACGTCACGAGCCCGTTAGCTTCGACAGGCCGCCGTAGGTCAGATTTGAAGAGGAGCCAGAACTCGCGAACGCGCGTGGCTGTCAGTCTTCAAAAGTCAACCATGTCTTTATAAGCCCAATGTTCTTCTTCCCCGACTTTTAATAGTGTCCCTGTTAAGGCTTCAGCAAGATCGTGGCTAATCAGCACCCAGTAATGAACGATCGTATGAAATCGTCTTTGAGAAGACGATTCGCTCCACTATAATGAGGCCAATAGTGACGACTGCTTTCCCCTTCGTATATCGCCCTCTCCGGGGAAAAGAGAGCTTTATGGAGCAGCTAAAAGCCCTAAATGGAAGATAAATTGGCCTGCACGTATCGACTATCACCCAGCAATTAGCTTGAACAGGCACTGTCGCTGACTCGAAGTTTAAAAGACAGCAAATCCAAGACGGATGGCTTGAGCCTTTGCGAATGACAAGGAGCCCGTAAAATCTGAGCTTGATGTCATCTCCTCGTATCTTGAGGGAAGGGTCTAGCGGACAAATTCGATTACAACCTAATGACGTTTTCATTACAGTAATTGTGTTTATTCGCAGGCCCTCTCACTGAGCGCGAGGCGCATCATTTTGCTGTGGGCACCGAAGACCTACAAGGGCTTCATCAATGGCATCCGACTCCCATACTTTCTAATGATTAGGAAGGTGTCGGGCTCAATAAGTCCAAATAGCAGGGCTTTTCTTGCGTTTAGAGCTAGCCTCGGGGCAAGCGATGCCTCTCTGTTTACTAAATACGCTTTCGCTGTGGGGTGCTACCGTTTTCACGGTAAAGTAATCCCAATCTAAAGATTAGATTCCTCATAAAACAAATTACTTGTGCAATATAAAAACAGAACTTGTCGTTTGTAAATATAACGGTTTACACATGGCAAAGGCTGCACAAACACGTTACATCACTAATCTAAATAAATCAGCGACACGTACAATGTAGGGATTTGTTGTCATTGGGAAACTAACTCACCTTCAGATTGTCTTTCAGTGGATTTTGCGAAACTTTAATACCATCTGTTATGGTTTATGATTCATTTTGTATTCTGTTTACATGCATCAAAGTAAATTACAATCCTTACATTGTGTTCATATGAAACATGTACGTTAAGTGCTATTTTTATCTGTCAAACAGACAATGAGTAAGAAATGATGTTCCCAAGTGAATCATAAAATGCTAGAAAACAATACCTGAGTTTAAAATAATGCATCCCATGTAAATTATAGATAAACGATTACATTTTCAAAACCTCAATTTTCGTTTCTTTGAAATGCGGGCTTTATTTACGCTTTCCAGATCAGGCTTGATCTTGACGTTTGTAATCAATGTCTAGTGTTAACCGTAGGAATCTACTTGTGTAATAGGTTATCATTGACGGTATAGATTGATGAGACAAACACTCAACACACTGATGTCACACAGCGTCAGACATACACTCAACACACTGACGTCGTACAGGGTGAGACATACACTCAACACACTGACGTCACACATTGTGAGACGGACACTCAACACGCTGACGTCATACAGGATGAGACAAACACTCAACACACTGACGTCACACAGGGTAAAGCATACACTCAACACACTGATGTCACACAGCGTGAGATATACACTCAACACACTGACGTCACACAGGGTAAGACATACACTCAATACACTGACGTCACACTGGGTGAGACATACACTCAGCACACTGACGCCACACAGCGTCAGACATACACACAACACACTGACGTCATACAAGGGGAGACATACACTCAACACGCTGATGTCATACAGGGTGAGACATACACTCAACACACTGACGCCTTACAGGGTAAAGCATACACTCAACACACTGATGCCACACAGCGTCAGACATACACTCGACACACTGACGTCATACAGGGTGAGACATACACTCAACACACTGATGTCATACAGAGTAAGTTCTACACACAAACACACTGATGTCACACAGGGTAAAGCATACACTCAACACACAGACGTCACACAGGGTGAGACATAATCTTAACACACTGACGTCATACAGAGTAAGTTCTTCACACAAACACACTGACGTCACACAGAGTAAAGCATACACTCAACACACTGACGTCACACAGGGTGAGACATAAACTTCACACACTGACGTCATACAGAGTTAGTTATACACACAAACACACTGACGTCACACAGGGTGAGACATACACTCAACACACTGATGTCACACAGCGTGAGACATACACTCAACACACTGACGTCACACAGCATGAGACATACACTCAACACACTGACGTCACACAGGATAAGACATACACTCAACACACTGCCGTCACACAGAGTCAGACATACACTGAACCCACTGACGTCACACAGGGTGAGACATACACTCAACACACTGACGCCACACTGCGTCTGACAAACACTCAACACACTGACGTCATACAAGTGGAGACATACACTCAACACACTGATGTCACTCAGGGTGAGACATGAACTCAACACACTGACGTTATACAGAGTAAGATATACACTCAAACACACTGACGTCACACAGGGTAAAGCATACACTCAACATACTGACGTCACACAGGGTGAGACATACACTCAACACACTGATGTCACACAGAGTAGGACATACATTCAACACACTGACGTCACACAGGGTAAAGCATACACTCAACACACTGGCGTCACACAGGGTGAGACATACACTCAACACACTGACGTCACACAGAGTAAAACATTCACTCAACACACTGACGTCACACAGAGTAAAGCATACACTCAACACACTGGCGTCACACAGCGTGAGACATACACTTAACACACTGACGTCACACAGGGTAAGACATACACTCAATACACTGACGTCACACTGGGTGAGACATAAACTCAACACACTGACGTCATACAAGTGGAGACATACACTCAACACACTGATGTCATACAGAGTAAGATATACACTCAAACACACTGACGTCACACAGGGTAAAGCATACACTCAACACACAGACGTCACACAGGGTGAGACATACACTCAACACACTGATGTCACACAGAGTAGGAAATACATTCAACACACTGACGTCACACAGGGTAAAGCATACACTCAACACACAGACGTCACACAGGGTAAGACATACACTCAACACACTGATGTCACACAGGGTGAGACATACACTCAACACACTGACGTCACACAGAGTAAGACATTCACTCAACACACTGACGTCACACAGAGTAAAGCATACACTCAACACACTGATGTCATACATGGGAAGACATACACTCAACACGCTGATGTCATACAGGGTGAGACATACACTCAACACACTGACGTCCCACAGGATGAGACATACGCCCAAACACACTGATGTCATACAAGGGAAGACATACACTCAACACACTGACGTCATACAAGGGAAGACATACACTCAACACACTGACGCCACACAGCGTCAGACATACACTCAAACACACTGACGTCATACAGGGTGAGACATACACTCAACACACTGACGTCACACAGGGTAAAGCATACACTCAACACACTGGCGTCACACAGGGTGAGACATACACTTAACACACTGACGCCACACAGCGTCAGACATACACTCAACACACTGACGTCATACAAGGGAAGACATACACTCAAAACGCTGATGTCACACATGGTGAGACATACACTCAACACACTGACGTCATACAAGGGAAGCCATACACTCAAAACGCTGATGTCACACAGCGTCTGACATACACTCAACACACTGACGTCATACGAGAGAAGACATACACTCAACACACTGACGTCATACAAGGGAAGACATACACTCAAAACGCTGATGTCACACAGCGTCAGACATACACTCAACACACTGACGTCATACAAGGGAAGCCATACACTCAAAACGCTGATGTCACACAGCGTCTGACATACACTCAACACACTGACGTCATACAAGGGGAGACATACACTCAACACACTGACGTCACACAGAGTAAAGCATACACTCAACACACTGACGTCACACAGGGTAAAGCATACACTCAACACACTGGCGTCACACAGGGTGAGACATAAACTTAACACACTGACGCCACACAGCGTCAGACATACACTCAACACACTGACGTCATACAAGGGAAGACATACACTCAACACACTGATGTCACACAGCGTGAGACATACACTCAACACACTGACGTCATACAAGGGAAGACATACACTCAACACACTGACGTCATACAAGGGAAGACATACACTCAACACACTGATGTCACACAGCGTGAGACATACACTCAACACACTGACGTCATACAAGGGAAGACATACACTCAACACACGGACGTCATACAGCGTCAGACATACACTCAACACACTGACGTCATACAAGGGAAGACATACACTCAACACACAGCCGTCATACAAGGGAAGACATACACTCAACACGCTGATGTCATACAGGGTGAGACATACACTCAACACACTGACGTCCCACAGGATGAGACATACGCCCAACACACTGATGTCATACAAGGGAAGACATACACTCAACACACTGACGTCATACAAGGGAAGACATACACTCAACACGCTGATGTCATACAGGGTGAGACATACACTCAACACACTGACGTCCCACAGGATGAGACATACGCCCAACACACTGATGTCATACAGGGTGAACCATCAGGGTTGGGCATATACCCATGATGCTGACGTCTCGTTATGTGAAGAATACACGCCCTACAATGCATATACTCAACATATTTACGTACAGAAAGTTGCAGCATACCGGCGCAGCATTGATATCATACAAAGTGAATCACATATTTCATATTACTAAATAGTACATAGCAAAATTTATTGTTAAGGCTTTATTTGTCTCATTATTAGTAATATGATAATACATTTTCATGTCGATTGTCAGTAATAAATTACAGATATATATGTACATGTTATGACTCTTAAACAAATAGTCTATTGACACAGACAACGGACCCTATACGTCCGTAGAAGGTTTGCTCAGCGCGTATGAGTAAGGATGGAAACCTCTTGTGAAATAAAGGGATTCACTTAAGTGTGGGAATCCAAGCTGCTTCTCCCTACCCCCCTCCACATCGGGTGAGCTGACTCTGTGCAGATCCCTGTAGAACAGATTAGGAACTCTCAGTAGCCGGGAAGGAACATGGCCCATGTTAGCATTTTCAAGTTCGGAAGTAATCTGTCTTTTCCATTTGTTTCTGCGATTTTGGAACCAGATTTTGACTTGAGTTTCAGTCAAGTTTAACGAAGCTGCCAACCCTGCTCTCTCGGAACTGGATAGATACCTCTTCATGTCAAACGTTGATTCAAGTTGAAAAACTTGACTTCTGGAAAACACAGTTCTGGTTTTCTTCTTCCGTTGTTTATCTGCGTGCCCACATCCATCTGTAGAAGGTACAAACCCTTCACCTTGAGAGGACGAGAGTTTATAGTCTTCATCTTCGTGAAAGAAGTCTGACTCGTCAGCACCGGGTTCTGGTGAATCCTTATCCACTGCTCTTGTAGCCGTGGATGTTGGGGATATTACCGGTGGTGTTGATGACGTTTCAGGAGCAGAAGAAGGTGGTGTCGGTTTGGTTTCTTGGTCTCTGCTGTCTCTGTACGCATGGTACCTTTCCAGTGCCCTTCCATACATCAACTGTTGCTCAATGTCTCCATCTAAGACCAATCATTGACAAAAATAGAATTTAGACATAAAATATTAAATATAAACTACGCAAAGCAGTACGCGTTTTAAAAGGAAAAATACACATTTCGGCAAATTGAAATTGACACGATGTCCTACATAGCTAAGAGTTTGGTGGTATTCAATTCTATATTTAATGTCCCATTTACTTTAAATCCTCTATTTATAAAATAAATTCTAAAATGATTCATATGACAACTTCTCAAAAAGCACTAGACATTCATTTACTAAATGAAAATAATTTTCTATCTATGACAAAACGTACAGAAAATTCTATATGACAAATGCGTGTACCTAGTATTTATCAATGCATAATGTGTACATGCGAACTGTTGTGATTTTACACACAGTTAATACTATTTGAAGAGAGTACTTCAACAATGACTGAGAAAACAATAAGTGAACAGTTCAAACATATCCAAGCAAAACTATCATCTTCTGCCACCAGTCTGTGATTAGCGTGTGTGTAAACTTTCAATAACAGTTGCATTCGTAGTTACAATGTAAGAATATATTTTAGCATGTGTCACTGACAACTGTCTATGTTGAAGTGTTTTTTTTATGTTCTGGGAAATGCAATTTACAGTACACATCTAAATCATGATCATCATACAAATATATAATTAATATTAAATGTAACCGTTTTCTACACAAGAAGAGCATCCCGTCACATCAGTAATTTTTCGACGACTCTCAGATTATGACATACAGCGGGAGACACTCTAATCGATATCAGCAGTGTATTTGGCTTCCTTTCATAAAACATCAAAATCAATAAAACTATTGCATCTAGATTCAAACACGTCAAAATATATTACAGTATGTATGATGGCAATATGTTACAGATTTATGTTTATTTAAGTCGTTTTGGGTTCCTGCTTGCAAAAACACTATCTGGTGTATTCCCCTGGATGATTGGGATGTAATGTGCACTCTGCTACATAAACACAACACGATGGAATAAATCTGTACTTAAAGACATTCTTGGATGAAATGAATATTCAAGCAAGAACAGCATTATGAGGAATTTATATAATACTCACACTGAAGCTGCTGCCGTGTTTGTGAGAGCTGATACCATGCCTGAAGTTGTCCGAGGAGGGTGGGGTTAGGTAGTGTCCGGTTGACTTGACCCCCGAGGGTTAACAACTGGACGTCTGGTGTGACCAGTGGGAGGAAGCCCAAATAGGCCCTCCGCAACACTTCCGGATCTCGGGTATCCCACAGCGGCTTTATCACTTCTGGAGACTCACACGTATCTGTGGACAGAATACTGTCTATAGAAAATGTCTTTTTTCCCCTACTTGATCCGTCAGCGTCAGACATTGTTGGCTGAAGTCCTTAGTATGCTGGGTAGTAATATTGACAAATATATGTGTTTCACGTGTAGTCGTCGGTGAATAGATCAAACACAATGTCAACGTGGATAACGACAAGCACTAGATAAGTTAGGTGGCGATCGGACACACCTGTATGATGCGTCAGGTGAATGGACATGAAATTGAAGATGTCTGTTTATGAATGTATGAGAGGAGGCAGGTACGAACGCTCATTGTTAGAGTCACAGGTAATTTCAAAGATCATTAATAATAAAATTGCGCTTCAGATGATGCCACGCCCATGTGATATGGCATTTCTAAGGCACTCTTTGAGGCAAATTATGATTGGTCGCCTTTGGCATTGGCATTGTAAACCTTTAGTGCTGCGAAATGGACACGCACTAACAGTGTCGCGTTTTGGATATGTAATTGACTCTTCTTGTTAATGTCAATGCTCGTGTTGCTCCTCCATAAAGACAACGTGAGTGTGAAAAATGAGATTTGACATAAGTGATAATTACATTATTCAGAAATGTCAGAAATAGGGATCTATCAAACAGTAATTTACAACGATCCTATTTAAAATTGACATTAGGAACATGTATTTAGCAGTCGTTTTCATCTATTCAATACAAGGGTGATACTTATCTTCATGACATTGCATGACTTAAATTATTTGTAAACTGTAATTAACAAGACAATAGTTTTTGCAGAAAGTTAGAATTGATTCATAAAACATTCAAAATATCTATTCACACGCACTTCTTCCGTGCCATATGATATTGAGAAAGCATTGTGTCATCAAAACATCAGATGGAAAAAGAAATCTTAAACAAGACTTTGTGTGGGTTTTCGTCAGCTAAGATGTATCTTTACGGAATTCAGACTTAAACAAGATAAGTACTGCTCAATACATCTCTTTGGCTAAGAATAAACATGCATGTCAGTGACGTACTTTCTGTAACTGGCTACGTCACTCTACTGAACTAAGCTGGGGATGTTATTGGAGGAAAAGCAAATATGCGACCATTACGCTCTCATTAGCGTGAGAGTATGTGATGACATCACGATGTAACTAAAACTTTTCTTGCGTATCATTCTTACAAATCAATTTTGGTTTCATCTATTCTTCTGTAATGAGTGTAACATTTACTATTACATTAATTTGTAGCCCATGGACCTGACTGATCAGGAGACTTCGGGGATACTGTCCATGATGATGACTTAGAAACATAACTTAACGAATAATTTAAAAGAAAAATAAATATAAATTTCCACTAATATAAGCATTTGTACGAAATAGTCCTCGCTTTATGATGAGATGTTACAACAGGCACTATCGCATGACTTTATTTGATATATTATAACGTTATATAGCTTATAAATAATGAAATAAAGGAATACCCTTGGCTTTAAACTGATATAAATGATATAAAATGTGCAATAATTCATAGAAAGTCTGCAGTGTTTACTTACTCGTTTATATGTGTTAGTTGATTACATCCCACAAGAATGTCCTGCATGTACAGGAATCTCGTGAACTACGGTTTCAGTCAGCAATAGTCGCAATACATTGCTAAATGTGACTACATGTCCTCAGATAACATTATCAGATACATCCGAATCCATGACAGTTTGGAGCAAATGAGTGAACTGCCTTATTAAACTCAGAGCCTTGTAAATTTGTGTTTAGTATACATACTTATTATATCAACGACAATGTTGTTAAAGTTCCATTCGTAAACGAATATTTGTCACGAAACTATATATTCAAGTTGCACAATGAAAGTGTTTACTACAATAATCATAATTAGTAAAACATATTTTAGTTCTATCTTATTGATAATTCCGTATGCAACATATGACAAAAACTGACTTAATTTGCCTCACGTATATATATTTTACAACTCTGTTTGATGTTGTAAGTTATTAATAACTAATGAAAGGTATGTACTGAATACAGATACCGTCAGTGAACACACTTTAGGGGTTACAAGTAAATTACAAATATTTAAATGAGGGAATATTTCACACAAAAATTATTGCAAAAACGATAAAGGTTTAATTTTCCCATTTGAAGTGACTAAGCTTTTCGTGATCGTGGACGTTGCTGTTACTGACGGTCCGTGTTGTCCATGATTGTGGGCGTTGTTACTGACGCTCCGTGTTGTCTATGATTGTGGGCGTTGTTACTGACGTTGAGTGTTGTCCATGATTGTGGGCGTTGTTACTGACGCTCCGTGTTGTCCATGGTTGTGGGTGTTGAAACTGACGCTCCGTGTTGTCCATGATTGTGGGTGTTGTTACTGACGCTCCGTGTTGTCTATGATTGTGGGCGTTGTTACTGGCGCTCCGTGTTGTCCATGGTTGTGGGCGTTTGTACTGACGCTCCGTGTTGTCCATGATTGTGGGCGTTTGTACTGACGCTCCGTGTTGTCCATGATTGTGGGTGTTGTTACTGACGCTCCGTGTTGTCCATGATGATGTGCGTCGTTACTGACGCTCCGTGTTGTCTATGATTGTGGGCGTTGTTACTGACGCTCCGTGTTGTCCATGATTGTGGGCGTTTGTACTGACGCTCCGTGTTGTCCATGATAATGGGCGTTGTTACTGACGCTCCTTGTTGTCCATGATTGTTGGTGTTGTTACTGACGCTCCGTGTTGTCCATGATTGTGGGTGTTGTTACTGACGCTCCGTGTTGTCCATGATGATGGGAGTTTTTACTGACGCTCCGTGTTGTCCATGATGATGGGCGTTTTTACTAACGCTCCGTGTTGTCTATGATTGTGGGCGTTGTTACTAACGCTCCGTGTTGTCTATAATTGTGGGCGTCGCTAGTGACGCTCCGTGTTGTCCATGATTGTGGGCGTTTGTACTGACGCTCCGTGTTGTCCATGATAATGGGCGTTGTTACTGACGCTCCGTGTTGTCCATGATTGTTGGTGTTGTAACTGACGCTCCGTGTTGTCCATGATTGTGGGCGTTGTTACTAACGCTCCGTGTTCTTCAAGCTTTACTGCGAGTCGCAGTTTTATTTGACGGAGCGTCAGTAACAACACCCACAATCATGGACAACAAGGAGCGTCAGTAACAACGCCCATTATCATGGACAACACGGAGCGTCAGTACAAACGTGGGCGTTGTTACTGACGCTCCGTGTTGTCCATGATGATGGGAGTTTTTACTGACGCTCCGTGTTGTCCATGATGATGGGCGTTTTTACTAACGCTCCGTGTTGTCTATGATTGTGGGCGTTGTTACTGACGCTCCGTGTTGTCCATGATTGTGGGCGTTTGTTCTGACGCTCCGTGTTGTCCATGATTGTGCGTGTTGTTACTGACGCTCCGTGTTGCCCATGATGATGGGAGTTTTTACTGACGCTCCGTGTTGTCCATGATGATGGGCGTTTTTACTAACGCTCCGTGTTGTCTATGATTGTGGGCGTTGTTACTAACGCTCCGTGTTCTTCAAGCTTTACTTCGAGTCGCAGTTTTATTTGAAATTTTGTATCTCCGACTCCATTGCGGTGTGAAAACTTTCTTAATTTAAATGTTTAAACTGTTTACGATTTGTCGTGCTATATAACACCATCACAAATACATGAATGACATTGATATATTTTATTGATGCGATGTTATCGCTGATTGCTAGAATGGCAAATACCCAAGCATTCGTATGAGATGAACTTACAACATTTCATATCACTTACAACACCTAAAATAGCTGCTGCATAGACACTTCATGATCAGACGTGACATGTCGAGGGCATTTGTACTACTGGAATAATATTGCAATGATTCACATGACTATCGTAATATTATTACAATATAGAAAATGTTTTGCAAACATATTAATTGAGCACCTTAACCGCCCCACAACATAGATTTCCTTCCATTATTCGACATGCTGATACCACGTCCATCAAGTCCTATTTTCAGCAATATTCTGGAGATTATTGTCACATATGATTGTAATAACGTTATTAATTTGCTCCCTTAAAGGCATGTAGGTATATTTTGAATCAAAACTAATGGACAAGTTCACGAGTAAGAAGTTATTTCCTTCTGCGTCTACCGACGTTATAGATAGTGTGGCGCGGCATCGATGTTTATATATGGACATTTTACCTGTGCGTTGCCGCCATAATTCTATCAATAATCATACCCTATACATCATCTCATAATGTTGCAACAAAAGTGTATAACAGCACAATATATCAGCTTAAGTTTCTGCATTAAATAACCCTGCGACTACACAAGATAGGGATTCATTCCAGACTGACCAACTTGTCACGACAAGAGATAAATGAGAATTATGAACCATATAAATCATCCTATCTTCTTTTTGTCAGTTCTAGTTGTAAGGTTCGGCTTCCCCAGTTTGAGAAAGAAATTAGCCTGGGAGACAACATAGAGCAGTCTTCAGAAGGAGGGATCGGGGTTTTTGACAGTCTTCAATCAGGGCGCTAATCCGGCATCGCGCCCACATGGAATTAAAGATATGATTACGGCTAATTATTCGTGAAACACTGATGCCATAGAAGTGAGGCCCGTAGACAGAATTAAGTCCTTATACACAACTTAATGCCCAAATAAAGAGCTAATGGACCCATCATTAGGCAAGGAAACAAATCGGGACTAGTTTAAGTGATGGCCGCAAGCGTGCAACACTACTTCCGATCAGTGCAGTGAGAGTATTAGTGGCGCGCAGTTCCTTTCAACATGGCCGCGGGTTGAAAGATTGGTGAACACAAGCCCGTATCAGACTCTCGATGCCACAGGGTAAAGATGACTCTGTTAAAGACTCGTTGTATATTATATATCCGTGTTTCGCTTTGTTTATCAGCGGCGTTAAGGTGATGAGGGGAGGGATCACCATACCGTTTCTTTAAGAGCGCCCGCGATTTAATCTACAAGCCATTATTGACTGCGGAGAAGAAAATGGGTTTGAATAATGTGACTAATGGGCCATTCGAACAATAGAGGGAAATAATCAGCTGCATGTGGTGAGAGTAGACAAACACAAGAACAAAAGCGAGCACTGGATGGATGTCATTGAGCAGCCTGTTAGATGTCATGTGGTGATAGAGATCGCAAGACTACAAAACCTGGGCACTGTTATAAGCTACTCTTGATTAAGATGACTGTGTTCTTAATCAAATCGATACAATAGAATACAAATTTCCATTGGCGGT